CTCCCTGAGCCGGGCCACTCTCCCTGAGCCGGGCCACTCTCCCTGAGCTGGGCCACTCTCCCTGAGCTAGGCCTGCCGGGTCCAAAGACTCTGTCTTCCTGGAGGGCGAGAACTTCATTCAACTCGTCATAGCAAATCGCCTCAGTGAGTGCGTTTTGAATCCTTTTCTTAATATTTGGATCATTTCTGGTGTCCATCAGTATGAACAGTGGATTTCAAAACTAAACAGAGCAACGTCGCCATTTCAAAGTTACAGCAACTCTTACTGGTCCTTATTTTCCAGACCTTATCAACTCTTGCCACAGAAGTCATAACAAGTGAAGAGCAGACTAACCAATTATATCCTTTTATTATTTTGGGGGTCAGAAAAAATACCCCCTTTTTTAAACAACTTGACTTTTGCTGATTCTTTGAAGATATTAAACTGTTTATAGTTTTAGCAGTAAGGTTTGTGTCCAGGGATGGAGCACAGTGGTAGCATGCCTGCCTAGCATGTGCGAGGCCCTGGGTTCAATCCCAGCACTGCAGAAAAAATTAATAAAAATAAATAATAAAAAAGTAAGGTTTGGCTTTCAGTCGTTCACTCCACAGCTGGCTTTGGTGGCTAACCTCTCTCCGTGTGTGCACATGTATATAGAACTGCTGAGTCCTTCCCAGGTGATGGATAAACAAGGACTTTGGATGCTTGAGCTGACAATTTCATAAAATCTGAGATCTTTTCACACCACGCTTTCCAATGCAGATTCCTGAACAGTTTGGCCCAATCCGGACGGTGGCCGAGGGGAAGGGCGAGGTCATCCTCATAGGCACGACTAGGAACTTCGYCCTGCAGGGCACCCTGTCAGGGGACTTCACACCCATCACTCAGGTATGGTTAGCTGAGCGTTCAAGCAAGCTCCAGAAGGAGGCAGTCACTCCTGTGTCCCCCTGAAATGGCCTTGGCAGAGAGACAAATGAGGGATGCACTGAAGGGGCCCGTGCCGTCGTCCCTGTAGGCCCCCGCTGTAGACTGCAGGGTCTCGAAGCTCCTTTGCTTCTTTGCAGGGTCACACTGATGAGCTCTGGGGGCTGGCCGTCCATGCTTCCAAACCTCAGTTCTTGACCTGTGGGCATGACAAGCACGCCACTCTCTGGGACGCTGTCGGCCACCGGCCCGTCTGGGACAAAATCATAGAGGTAAGCATGCGTGCTACACTTCCACCTTTCTGGTAGAAATGTACCTGGAACTTGCTCATTTTCTCTTGCAAGCCAGCCTCCCCCGCTGAGCTCTTCAGAGTCGCGCTGCTCTTCACGTGCCCCGACAGCTCTCGCCCTGCAGTGCTGACGTTCCCCTGAACTCTTAGCAGGTCGAGTTGCTCACGGGTTCTTGGGCGCAGTGTTCTCATTGCCTCAAGTGCTGGAGATGCATGTCATAGGCCGTATTCTATCTGTGACATGACTCTTGGATAGGTGCTCACAGGTGTACTGAGAACAGTTCAATTCGTCTCTACGTTCTCAGTGTGATGGTAAAGATAAAGCATGAGTTTTAAAGTCAGCATCTCTGTGAACTTTGCAAAAGGAGCACAGATTGCATACCTTTCCCTATACATAAAACAGGCCTGCATTTCTTGAGCACTGGCTGTTTGCCTGCCAGACACTGGATGTATGTTGTCTTAATCCTTGCGGCCACCCTGCAGGTTGAAAATTTTTTTTCTCTCTGATTTCATCAACTAGGAAACTGAAGTTTAGTGAAGTTAAATAACTTGCCAAGGTCACGGATTAGTCGCAGGCCAGTACTTACCCCCACTGGCCAACCCCAGGCTCTGTCCTCAGCACCACACTGTGGAGAGTCGAAGGGACCTCCTGTGTTCTTGCACCCTTGACGATATACACAGCCCCAGCATATTCTTTAATGCCCTGCAGAGTGGCTGGCATCCCCCAGGTGCTGGGTCTGGCTCTCCTCTCTCGACTTTCAGAGAAAGGTTCGATGGGTTGCTGACCACTGTAGCCAGCTGCTGAGCATGGGAGGGACGAGCCGGAGGGGCTCAGCGGTGCTCAGAGAGGGCAGCCTTCCCCGCTGTCTCATCAGCATGACTGCCTCGGGAAGCAGTGACAGTCCCTGCACTTCCCTGCCCCTTCACCACTCAGCTTGACTCGTAAAGGTAGGGGCCGGAGCTGGAAGCCAGCCTGCAGCAAGTCAGCTCCTGGGCCACTGGCCCTGTGACTCTGGACAGGAAGTCGTCACTTCTCGGTACTGCAGTGTCTTCATCTCACAATTGTCAAGAGGCTCAGATTAATGGCCTGCACCAAAGTGCTTTTGTAAATGGTAAAGTGCCAAGGGAAACCTGAGGTCCACGTGTGGGTCGTGGCGGCCTGAGCTCCCACTGAGGAAGAGGCATCTAGAGGATAAAGCCAGAAGCCGCTGCTTCTTTCCAGTCTCTGGAGTCTCTAGTTAATCCACACGCATCTCTGTGCCCTCCACGTCCACTCCTGGCCCCTTTGCAGGGGTCAGCTGGTTGTATCTCCAGGCAGCTCACTATTTGACCAAGTGACCACTGAGCATAGGGGTCAGCCACGGGGGCCGGCATCTAAACTAGGGCTTAGAAAAAAAGAGCATTTCCCTGTTAGTCTCTCATCTGATGACTGTAGATATGAAAGGGGATAAGGCAAAAGGAAAAATTCTGAAAGGATAAAACTTTAGTATTATTGAAATGTGCCAATTGTAATGCATTCCTCTGTCATATAAATAAAAACTTGATTAAAAAATTTAAAAAGATTTATGATACTTAGAAACTTACAAAAAAAAAGAAAAGAAAAGAAAAGAAGAAGTGTGCCACATATCCAGGGGAAGCCATCTTCCTCTGAGGAGAGAAAGGACTTTTCAGATAGAGCCACTGGGCTTGTGGGGGTGGCAGGGCACGGGGGTGTCATGCTGTGGTGCTGTATCTGCCATCAATTTACACTTCCTTTAAAATATTTTAGGATCCAGCTCAGTCTTCTGGTTTTCATCCTTCAGGGTCTGTGGTCGCGGTCGGAACACTGACTGGGAGGTAAGCCCACCCCAGGCGGCCTGTGCTCTCAGAGCCGCAGACAGGCGCGCCCCATGTGCCCCCAGGCCCCGCGCAGCCAGCTCCCGACTGCGGCTTCTCAGCTCCCAGTGACTCACCAAGAATCAGTCCAAACCCTTAGGGCAGGGGACATTTTGTAAAGCTATAGGTCCTCAATCCTATAAAAATGCCCGGTCCTCAGGCCTCCCCAGAGTCTCCCCCAATCTGCCTCCAGGTTCAGAGGTCTGGACTTTCAGAATTCTGAGAGTGCCCATTCTGAGCCTCCTGTTCAGGTTTGCTAGTGTTCATCTACCGAGCACCTCCGACGTCTGTGTTGGAACCCTGCTTTGCCGCTTGGCAGTGTGTGTCTTTGAGCTGGTCACATGAACTCTCTGAACTTGTTTCCTCTGTCGGTCATGGTGGTACTGCCTGCCTGGCTCTGTCGCACAGGGCTGAAGGGGGCCGTGGTGAAGCATCCTGCCCTGCGTCCTAACCCGTGACAGCACCTCTAAGTTAGGCACAGGAAGCGCCTCACCACAACAATAAAACAGAGCAATTATAACAAACACGAATTAGGTGGGTGCATCTCTGCAGAAACAGCTGATTGCACCGTGTCCCCCTCTGCTGCCATGACGTGAGGTGACACAGTGCCTGCCTGATGATAAGGGAGGCAGGTGACGCGCACAGAATGGCACATGCTTTAAAACTGCTTATTTCTGGAATTTTCCATTTAATATTTTCAGACCAAGGTTGACCGTGGGTAACTGAAACGGGAAGGAAGACCCAGGGCCGGGCGGGGTGGGCAGGGGCGGGCTGCCCACATGCACTTACTGTGGTTTCACTCAGTACTTGGTGGTTTCCTCCCAGTCTTTCTCCTCGAGAAGTGCACCACTTAGATGCCGTTGTTGTCTGGAGGGTAGAAAGAGAGTGACTGTCCCACAGCATTCACAGGTCATCAGAGTGCGGTTGCACGGCCGCCCTGGTTCGGCCCCCTTTCCGTTTCACTCTCCCAGGCAGCTGGGGCTGGAGCTCAGCAGGCCCCCCTCTGAGCTCCCACCAAGTGCCATCACCTCCCCGTGCACCATAGGGAGAGCATGCTCAGAACAGGCGGCGGTGTGGGCTTGAGGACGTGGCCCCTCCGTCTGCCCCTCCCTGTTGCTGGTCCCAGGCCAGATGCTCTGATGCTGTCCTTTAGATAGGACATTTCAAAGGCATGTTCCAATCAGCCCAGCCTTGCTATTTGTTACATTCTGGACTCTGTTAAGGTTAAATAACATGTTAAAGGTACATAGTTGTTCAAGATGCCAGAAATCAAAGCTGAGAAGCAGCATCCAAACTTCAGGCAGTCCTGACGGGCAGTGGTCAGTGCTGAATGGAAGGCAAGCACACAGCAGCTCCACGCCAGTGGTGTCCAGGGTTGAAACTGCAGCCTCGGGTAGCCCACAGCCTTTCAGCCCCACAGCCCGGTGCCCCACCCACTGCCACCCCTCAGTGTTCAGTCTTCCTGAGGTCCAGCAACCCTGAAGTGGGTGCAGGGTCCCTACCGGGGGTAGGAACCACTCCCAGGTCCATCGCAACTCAACACGGAGCCTGCAGAGGAGACCCCAACTCTAATTCCATGTTTCCATTGGAAACTGGCCGGAGAAGTCCAAGTCAAGGCCTGTCCTTTCGGCTGTCTTCCAGGCTTACTGTCCTTCCGTCCACTCTGGCTGCTCCCTAGCACACAGAAGAGCTAGACTTGACCCAGCTGGCCCAGCCCCTCCTCCTGCACCCGGCTGGCTCAAGTGAAGCTCTGGGTGAGCTCAGCAGGCGGTCCTTGGCCATCCTCTGACCACAGGCTGCAGCACTAGGTGTTGGCCATCTTCCTGTGCAGGGCTCTCTCTCATATCGTGTGTAAATGACAAAGCACAATACTGAGAGACCACGTCATAGCGCTGAGAACTGAATCTTTCCAGGCCGCTGTGTGCTCTTCCTTTTCAGAGAAGGCTCGTGGGTATCCCGAGGACACTCCTCTGAATGAAACCTGGGAATAAGCTTTCTTACCGAGCCGCCCGGAGTGTCCAGCCCTTCTGATGGACACTTGTTAACGGTCTTGCCCTACCGTCGTGCCCTTATTGACTTTCCCCCTAAACTGCCTCTCTGTTTCTCTTGTTTTAACAGGTGGTTTGTGTTTGACACAGAAACAAAAGACCTGGTCACTGTCCACACGGACGGCAACGAGCAGCTGTCCGTGATGCGCTACTCCCCAGGTGAGAGCTGCCCCTGAGGAAAGCGCCTCGGCCTCCCCAGAGCCACCTGCACCACACAGGAGGGCRGTGTCTCTGGCCTCCTGCGCTGAAGAGTGTTAGCTCACCATCATGGAGAATTCTGAGCCTAGTCCACATTAAACAGGACAGCCTAGTGACCCCTGTGCCCACCATGCAGGTCCACGATGGCCAGGGCTTAGCGGGGCCCAGCCTCTGCAGCTCCCACCCTTCCTCCCATGACATTGTTTCATGTGTTAACTGTCGCATACATCCCCAGAAGGTGAGGGCTGTGTCTGACAGCTTTCTCAAGGTGTAATTTACAGACTGTTATTTACCCACCACAGTGTACAGCTCAGTGATCCTTAGTGCATTTAGGGTTTTGCAACCATCACTACAATCCAGTTTTGAAACCTTTTCATGCCCCTGAGAAGTTCCCTCTGTACCTATGAGCCATTCATCTTTGCCTGCTGCCCCATTCAAGACAACTACTGATCTTCTCTTTGTCCATATAAATTGTTCTCCATAGTTAATTCCTTTTTAATTGCTGTATAGCATTCCATTTTGAGGATATGCCACGTTTTGTTTAACTTTTCCCGAATAACGGACGTTTGGATTATTTCTCACTTTCTACTATTGTGAATAATGCTTCTGTGAATATTCAGGTATATATGGCTTTTTGAAGGCACATTTTCATTTCTCTTGGGGAAGTTCCTAGGAGTTGCATCAGTGGGTTGTATGGAGAACTTGTGTTCAGCACACTAGGACACCGTCCAGCTGTTTTTCACAGTGGCAGTTATAATCTCTGTTCCTCCAGCAGTGTCCGAAGGCTCTGGGGTCTCCACCTCCTCCCCGACCCCTGTACTGCCTGTCTCTTGTGGTGGCCATTCTGAGGGAGTGATGTGTTTGCTGTGGTTTTAATTGGCCTTTCCCAAGTGACTGTGGACATTGGGCAATTTTTTATGTGCCCATTTGAGATTCCTAGATTTTCTTTGGTGAAATAACTATTCATGTGTTTTACCCATTTAAAATTAGGTTGTCTGTCTTACCATTGAGTTGCAGGAGTTCTTTCTTCTACATGTAAATTCTTTACCTGATAAAGGCTTCATAAATATTTTCCCCAGCATTGGGCTAGTCCTGCCATTTTCTTGGTGGAGTCTTTTGAAGCACAAATGTTTTTTGTTGTTGTTGTTGTTGTTGTTGTTTTGTGGTTTTTTGTTGTTGTTATTGTTGTTGTTTTGATGAAGTCCAGTGGGTCGTGCCCAGGGTCGGGAAGCCTTCTCCTGTGCTTTCTCTCAGAGGTGTTGAGTTGGCCCATGCATTCAGGTGGGGCCCATTCTGAGTTGCTTCTCGTGGACTGTGATAGCTAAGAGTCAGAGTGTGTCATTCTACACACAGATGTCCCTCGTCCCTACACTGCCTGTTGACAGCAATATCTGTCTCTATTGCATTGTCTTGGCCTTTGTGTCACAGGTGAGTTGACCATAATATGAAGATTTGTCTTTGAGACCCTCGGTTCTGTCCCTCCCCTGTGTGGACCCTGCCCCCTCCACATGGTCAGGACTGTGACTTTGGGTAAGCTTTGGAGCTGACTAGTGTGACTCCTCCAGCTGTTTGGTTACTTGCAAAAGTTCTACTGGTATTTGGGTTCCTTGACATTATACAATATTACACACATTTTAGAATCAGCTTGTCACTTTGTGATTTTAAAAAGCCTATTAGGGGGGCTGGGGCTGGCTCAGTGGTAGAGCACCTGCCTCGCACGAGTGAGGCCCTGGGTTCAATCCTCAGCACCACATAAAAATAAATAAATAAATTATTATATTTTAAAAAATATAAAGTTAGTAGGGTCTTAATAGAAGTTATGTTGAATTTGTAGATCATATAGGGAAATTCTCACCTTGATTGATAAATTGAGTCTTCTAATCCATTTGTATCTCTCCATTTATTTAGATTTTCTTTCTTTCTTTTTTCTTTTTTTTTTTTTTTTTTTGGCCAGTGGGTGTTAAACCTGGGGCCTCATATATGCTAGCAATTATTCTGCCACTGAGCTACATACTCAGCCCTTTTAAATTTTCTTATTTTGAGACAGGGGCTTGCTCAGTTGCCAAAGCTGGCCTCCAACTTGTGATCCTCCTGCCTCAACCTCCTGAGTAACTGGGATTATGGGTGTGAGCCACCGTGCCCTACACACATCTTCTTTGATTGTTCTCAGGAATATTTTAGTTTTTCATGTACAATTCAAGTCTTGCACTCTCTTTGTTAAATGTATTCCTAAGTTATTTTTATGTTGTGGTGAATGGAATTTTTTTCAGGTTGTTGGTTAGTAGTATATAGAAATAAAATTAAATTTTGCACATGGATCTTATATCYTTTCACCTTTCCAACTTTTTATTAGTTTTAGAGGGGTGGGGGTGGTGACCACTGGGAGTTCTTCATGCCAGGATCACATCATCTGAAAATGACAATTTTTCTTCTTCCTTTCCACTCTGGATGCCTGCAGTTATTTCTCCTTTTCTGTGTTAGGTAGTACCTCCAGTAAAATGTGAAGAGAAGAAGGTCCCTTACTTTGCTGCCCATCTTAGATAAAGCCTCTGTCTCTCATCTTTAGGGATAAGGATGCCCTTCACCTTGATGAGAAAGTCCCCCTCCATTCCTGAGTTGCTCAGGGTTTTGAAGCACAAATGTTTTTTGTTGTTGTTGTTTTGTGTTATTTTGTTGTTGTTGTTGTTGTTGTTGTTTTGTGTTATTTTGTTGTTGTTGTTGTTGTTGTTTTGTTGTGAAGTCCAGTGGGTCAGTTTAGAACGGTGTTAGTTTGTCATGTGCTCTGTCTGCATTTATTAAGCTGACCACGTGGTTTTGTGTTTCTTTTTCAATGTGGTGAATTACACGGATTTTCCAGTGTTAAGCCAACTTCAGTTCCTCTGTGAATCCCGCTGGGTCCCGGGGTACAGTCCCTGTTTCATCTTACTGGACCCAATTTGTTAATAGTCTGTGAAGGACTTTTGCAGCCGTGGCCCAGGGGATGTTGCTCTGAGTTCCTTCCTGGTGCCTTGGCCTGACGTGGCTGAGGGTCCTGCCAGCCTGGAGGGTGTGTTGGGACCCTCCTTTCCTCTGTTTTCTGGGCTTGTGAAGGTTGCTGTTGTTTCTCGACTACATAGTTGATGGAACTCACGTGAATTCAGTGGAACCTTCTGGGCTTTTTCTTTGGGGAAGGTTTGTAATTGCTAATTCCATGTCTTTATTTATTATAGGTCTATTGGGATTTCCTGTTTCTTCCTGAGTCAGTTTGGTGGTTTGGGTTTATCTAGGAATTTTTGTTTAACTTGTCTCATTTGTTGGTATAAATCTGTTGGTAGTACTTGCCTGTGTGATCCTTTCCGTGTCCCTAGGTTGGGCCTCAGTAACTCATCTTCATCCTTTTTTTTTTTTTTTTTTTAAAGAGAGGGGGGAGGAGAGAGAGAGAGAGAGAGAATTTTAATGTTTATTTTTTAGTTATTGGTGGACACAACATCTTTGTTGGTATGTGGTGCTGGGATCGAACCCAGGCCGCACGCATGCCAGGCGAGCGCKCTACCACTTGAGCCACATCCCCAGCCCTCATCTTCATCCTTGATTCTGGTAACTGGTGCCCTTGCCCTTTTCCCTTGATCGGGCTAGCCAAGGGTTTGCCAATTTTGCTGATCTTTCCAGAAAACCAACTTTTGGCTTCATTGAGTTTTTCTCTGTTATTTTCTGTTTTTTTTCTCTTTTCTGTTCTGATCTTTTTTGTTTTCTTCTGTTCCTTTTTCTTTCTTTCTTTAAGTTTCTGAGGGTGGAGGCTTGGTTTATTTGTTGGAGAACGTTCTTTTCTGGTATAGATATTTAAAGCTATAAATCTTAACTATTGCTTGAGCCACATCTCATGAACTTTGACATGTGTTCTCWTTTTTATTCAGTTCAAAAGTATTTGCTGATTTCCCCAGTGGTTACTTTTGGGCTTATGAGTTATTTAGAAATGTAATGTCTAATTTCCAAATATCTGTGGATTCCCCATATTTCTTTAAGCTACTGGTTTCTGTTTTCATGTTATCACAGTCATTGAGCAGACTTTGTGTGTCCAGTCACTCTAAATACATTGAGGAGTGTCTTGTGGCCTCCTCGTGGCCTGTCCTGGGATAGGTTCCCTGGACACTTAAGTCGAGTGAGTACCCTGCAGTCCTGGGCGGAGTGTTCTAGGTAAATCAGCTCGGACCAGCAGTTGGTAGTGTTGTTCATGGCCCCGTCCTGCTGATTCAAGGCCCCTGTCCTGCTGATTTGCTAGTTGCCCTGCAGTGGTTGGGAGTGATGGATTATGGTCTCGTTGTGTTGTTGCTGTCACTTCTCAGGTCTTTCTGGTTTGCTTCGTGTAGTTGGAAGAGCCCCTAGACAGCAGTGCATTTAAACACCTGTAGCCAGCCAGGCCTCCATCCGTTGCCAGTGGGCCTCTGTGCAGGCAGGAGAGGAAATTCAAAGTTCAGGCCCTACAAACCCAGCAGGTGTGCTTCCACCTGCTCTGTATCTGTGCAGCCTCCATGTGGCCAGGAGGCCCCGTATAGCCAGGGACCTCTCCAGCCTCCACTGTGCACACTACAGTGTCCCCCACCCACCCCAGACCATGTTTACCCCAAGCACAGCCACCATCTCAGGCTAGTAGAGCTGCTGGCCCTCCCCGCTGAGCCACCTGGAGACCGTCCCTTCCATCCACAGTGCTGCTGGGCCTCCGTGTCACCCAGGGCTTCACAGTGAGAGACCTGCTTTGGTCACAGCTGTGAAGCTGCTGTCCCCAGAGGCTGCTCCTCCCTGGCGTAACTTTGGTGCCAGCTGAGCTGCTGGGATTGGATGAGGACAGCCCGGGAAGTGCTCCACAGGCTCACCCTGTCCTTCCCTGCCGTGCAGCACACACACCCTCAGACCGCCTGCCGTTCTGGCTTTGGTCGATTTCCAGATTGCTGAATGGGTTCTGGTGAGCTTTGCCCAGGGTTGTC